GCCGATGCCAAGGTGCTTGATTATCCCCGTCGCCTTGAGCGGCCTCGTCGAGCAGCTGTGGAGATAAACGGAGTAATTGACAAATTGCGGGTGCTCTCTCTCTGCCACCGCTCCCGACTGCTTTTTAGTGTTGTCGCCACGGTGGACTGAGCTGCTGAGAAAGCTCGAGTTTCATTCAGATTTCCTTCGTTTTTCCTGCCGCGTCTGTCTCAAGAGGGCATAACCTGGAAGTACGAAGGCTCTTTGAACTGTGTTGAGTAAAAGAATAGTTAGAAGAAGCAGCTAATGAAGCTGCAATTCAAACTCAGGCATAACTGCACACCAACAGCAGCACTGATAATTTCAGTTTGTAACCTCCTGCAGAAATATTAATGAAATTATCTGATAAAGACTGTCAGTGAGGTTTGTGCTTATTTTTTGGTGAGTGAAACTACGTATTCGAGCAGCACTCCACCAAAAGCAATCACAACAGCAGCTGTAGCGCTGTGTCGAGCCTTCGTCTCTTTATATTCTGTTTCCAAGGAGCCAGACATTCCCGTCATTTTTAAAGTAGCCTTGATTCATAGCTCTCCAGGCTTACTGAGGGTTTTCACAGTCTTTCTCTGGACATTGGCTGCTTTTACATTCACCTTCAGTCCGATCCATCAGAGGAATGCTTCTTTGAGCTATTTAAGCATAAAAACACATGTAGCTCAACAGGTGAACCAGTGTTGTGTCTACACATAACAGACAACGTGAGGCACTTTTGCAAAAACACGTAATCTGTTCCCATTTCTTTAGCTGAAAGAACAATAAATATCAAAACTAACATCATCAATGAATATTTGACATGCAGCTTTCCTAATTGGGCTTCCATCAAGTCAGCAAAGAGGCACAGAAAAGAAGATCAGACACCAACTCGGGAGGAATAGATGTAGCCGGTGTATCGGAAAAACTCAGGAGAGTTTTCTCCAAGTACGACATCACAGTATACTTCAGACCCAGCAAGGACAAGACTCAGCAGTCCATCTGCATCTAAAGGACAAAGATCACTCTTTCGAAGATGCCAATGTTCACATTTTGGACAGGGAGGACAGATGGTTTGAAAGAGGAGTGAAAGAAACATCTATGTCCACTGTGAGCGACCATCTTTGAACAGAGGCGGTGGTTTACGACACCAACTGTCTGCCATCTATAATCCAGTTTTGAGTTTCCTCCCCAGACGCCTTAACGCCCACTCACATCCTGGGCCATCTGACCTCAGGAAATCACATGATAGGGTGGGGTGGACCTACACCCGTCTTCACACCTTGGCTCATGTGATTAGGTAGAAGATCATTGGGAGGTCCATTGTCCCTCTTGGGGGACACTCCCACAGGGCTTAAATCTGGGACTCCCCACCATTTGACCCTAGAACTGAAGAAGCTTCTCAGATGAGAGGTGAAACGTCTTCAAGCAACTCAAAGAAGTCCAGACGCTTTTCTTTCCAAGCTCCTTAGACTACGATGACCTGGATGACTGAGAACCTTCACAGACATCAAAACTAACAGTTTGACAGGCACTAAACAGAACGTTTGCACCAAAATAGGGACTCTCCAAGAGCATGAGCTCAGCACAAACTCAGCATATCTAAGCACAGTGTGCAGTGTGTCCTTAACTGGTGTATTATATTTGATCATTAATTATTTTTGTGTTTTTGGGACGTCTGCATGCATCGTCATTCTCCTCCCTGAAATTTTTAAGCAAATGCAAAAAAAACTGGCAGATGTAGCCAATATGATAGAAATCAAAAATAATATGCAAACACTCCATTTTTTTAAATGGAATTTTATGGCAATTATTTCATGATTCAGGCTTTAAATTGTTAAAAAAAAAAAAAAAAAAGCTGCCAAACTTGACAAGTGGACGAATTCAAGTCAGTTTATTTATACAGCAACAAATCACATCAACAGTTTCCCCAAGGTGCTTTATATTGTAACCTGAGAGATGGATCTGATCCTTCAGTTTGTCCACCTACTGTTCACTGAAGCTTCATCAGAAATGGCCTAAGTCAAGGGTGGCTGTCAATACGACATTTTCAGGAAGGGAAACGGGGAGAAAAAGTTCATACATCTAAGAAAGCACCTGACTGACAACGATCCCAAACACGCTGCCAATGCAGTGAAAGCAAACCTGGACCGAAACACACCCAGAGCCTGATCCTCAACATTACTGAAGCAGAGTGGGATCATCCTGACAGACAACAAAAAGGGAGAAACATCCAAGGAAGAGCTTTGAATGTCTTTCAAAAAGCCTGGAGAACGATTCCTGAAGACTACTTATAGAAATCCAGAGAAGCTGCCACACATACGGGCAGACCAAATATTAACTTTCAAACTTGTTACAATTATACAAACTCTTTTTTTTGCCTTGTTTCCATCCATTTCTCATTTAGCAGCATATAAAGAAATGATTTGAGACTTTTGTCCTGTTTTGTACCTTTGAGGCTTGGAAATGCATCAAAAACCAGTCCAGAAACCAACGGGTGAAGTCAAGGTGGCTACATCCATCTTTTAAATACAGTCTGGTTATGCCACCAAATGTGAGACATTGAAATAAATATTGCAACAAAAGCTACACCTTTCTATTAAACAACTCACAGCGCTACCTGTCCTCTGTGCCGTCCGTCACCAGCCTCCGTCTGTGCCTCCCTCCATCAATAGGAGCACTTTGCAGAGACCGGTGACAGTAATAAAGTCTGACTCAGTGAGGCTGGAAAGGATGTAAATGAATGTAGATGAGGATGAAGAGTAATTGCTCACACAGAGTGCTGTGAAAGGTGTGTGTCAGAGAGAGTGAACCCTTTGGAGCTCTTAACTGGAAATGGGTGGCCCAGTCAAAGAGGAGAGACTTCAAATATCTGTTTCTCTATTAATGTTGCTGAATGGATGGAGCAGACGGGCGAGCGTCGGTGAATGATGGCAGATGCAAAAATAATGGGGAATGATGTCACAGAGGAAGCAGCAGAGAGAAAGAGAAAGTTTTTAAGTAACAGGGAGGGAAGGAAGAAATTAAAGAAGGCGGTTATTATCTCACTAAATATTACATTTTTTGTATTACTGTTCATCTCATTCAGGAACGTACACTCATTCTGTTGGATAAGTGTGGAAAACTGATGTAAACACGCCAAAAAAAGTCTATAAAATGGTGCACATAACACCTACAAAAACTTCTGTATGGCAGACTACCTGACCTCAGTTTGGCCAGTCTCCTTCTCAAAGCGTACCAAATGGCTGCTTTGGCGTTTTCAGTGCATCCCTGGAAAGGTCTGCTTTGACCACATATTCACTGCACTTTGAGATTTTACCACAGACATCAAACAAACATCAACTTCTGCAACCTGACTTTCATAACGAGGCGCCTTCATCAATGACTTAGACCACATTACAGTTTTCCGTGGAAGGCTCCACCATGCCCATTCCTGATCAACACCTCTGGATCTCTTAGCGATTGTATTACATGCCAATTTATCCTCCCCTTGCAATAATTCCTGAAAAGCCAAGAATCTTTTGCCCACATAAAGACAATATTCACTCAACATGGCCCTAGAGTCTAGATCAGGGATCTTGAACTCCAGGCCTCGAGGGCCAGTGTCCTGCAGCTGATTTAAATGGCTAAATGACCTCCTCAACATGTCTTGAAGTTCTCCAGAGGCCTGGTAATGAACTAATCATTTAATTCAGGTGTGCTGACCAAGGGTGAGATCTAAAACCTGCAGGACACCGGCCCTCGAGGCCTGGAGTTCGAGACCCCTGGTCTAGATGGTTCATACAACTCTATCCTAAGCCATCTCCGGTGATCAGCACAACCCTAGCCTCAAACCCTAAAACCCACGACCCCATCAGATCAAGAGAGTGAGAGAAGAGAGTGAATGCAGTTAAATGTATGTTCTGGAGAACCATCCTCAGCTCCAGGGGAAAAGCACGACCTCGCAGGTTTCATTCACTGTCACCATAAATCAAAATCCCATTTTTGCAGCGCTGAAAACACAGTTTCACCCTCAGCTCATTAACGACCCTCAGGCGGGGCATCCATGTCAAACAGAGTCTCTGTTTAAGTCAAAGCTCCAGTCTTGTGACATGACCTTATGAGAAAGGGCCGTCAACATTAAGCTTAAATCTGCCACTTCCTGCAGGCAGACTCCGGGATGATCCTCTCTGTTGGAGCGTTAATTGTATGCAGATGCTTTGTTTATGCTTGTATTCATGATATTGTCTGTGAGCTAATTTTGTCTTCACTATCCTCCGTTACACCCCTCTGCTCTCACAGGAAATCATTTGTCGCAGCGGCGTCACTCGGAGGCCTACTGGCCGCGGCAGTCAGAACAACTCTGTCACTTCTTATCTCCCATCATAAGCACAAAACTCATTTGTCTAAAGCACTAACATGTCAGCCTCTCTCCCCCCCCCCCAAGAGTCCTGTTGGTGAATATGAGCTCCCCAACACATCACTCTCTTACCTAGCTTGAATTTCTCTCTCTGGAAAGAAAAAAAAACAATCCTCCTCATCCTTTTTGCTAGTTGTCATCTTAGTCCTGGCATACACGACTACAACCAGCAGAGATCTGAGCCTTGCTCTTCTCACTATCGACTGCTTATGGTGCTAATATAAGCATTACATTACTCTGCTTTGCATTTATTGTATGTCAGTTTGACACATTACATCAGCTTGGATACAAACGCATGTGTGCGTCTCAGTGTGTTTCTCTGTGTGTGAAAGAAAGTAGTATATCTTAGCTAAAGCAGTTACTACTAAGATAACCCCTAAAAAGGCCACAATAAAAGTCCTAAGAATCTCAAGTTAAAGTTTTTTACCCTCCCAAAAGTGAGTCCACCAACAAACAGCAGTTTTAACTCCTTATTAACAACATCGCAACAAGAGCCGCACCTATAAAACAAAAGGCCACGCACTCATGCACATGAGCCATTTTCCCACTTTAGATACTAACCGAGTATTCAAGGCTTTTGAAGGCGGCCACTCACCCATCACTCGGAGCCGGTCTGCGCCCACCACCACCTCCTGCTCATCGGCGGAGAACAGGAGCTTCCCAGAGGTGGATTTCACTTCAAACATCTTGCCTCGTGCTTTAAATCCAGTGGATCCTGAACCGAAGGAGAAGAGAAGAGAGAGGAGACATCAAAGAGGAGGGACTGGAGCTGATTTCTTACCGAATTACCCGAGAACATGAAAACTTAAAAAAAAAAGCACCCTGGTGGAAGATGTGGGACTTATGACCAAACCTGCAATATTGATTTTGTTGTGATTCATGAGACTGCTGAGAAAATTTCCAACAAACCGATCCGGTCTTTAAGTCTGACGTCATTAGCTGTGCCTGGGCCCAAACTCAGCTGCAGGCCCCAAAGTCAAACGAACACCGCGGCATCACTGAGAGTTAAAAACTGTCTAAATTCTTTCATCTTTAATAAAATGTTACATCTCTACCAGGTGTAACATCTAAGTTTAACATCCAGGCATCCATGAAAACAGAATTTATTACATTTAACAGAGTTAGAAGTTAGCAGGAAGTTAGCTTGCTAGCTTCCATCTAAACATGATATAGCATGTTCTGACGGAGAGATTTCTGAAGAAATTAAGACGTACAGCTTTGCTATCACTTCCAACATAAATGAAGACAGAAAATTAAACAGCGGTGGCTTTTGTTGGTTCACTGAAGTTGGGCTAGCTGGTATATAATGATGCTACATGATCACTAGCAACACAGCTATGTTAGCATAGCATAAACACAGTGACGTTGGAGGATGAACGCTAACTTTTTTCCACTCGATTAAAATGAGAGGTTTCCTGATAGTTAGGGACAAATGCAGGCAGGATGCTGTAAACGGACCAAACTTCAGTCAGGAGAACAACTGAGATCATACGAGGTTAGTCATTCATATACTGCTGCTGGGCTGTAGTTACATCGTAAGGTTTTAAAAACTGAGCTTTAAAATGAACAGTGATAATAAAAACCGAGAGAGGCCGACAGTGATCACTGACTGTTTTTAGGGGCTTATTGAGATTAAATAGAACAAGATACAAAGCATTAATATATGTTAAGAACATACATACATACATACATAATATATGTTAAGAACACAACAGCCTTAATAAACACAGTCATTTCTTATCACTTAAAGACCGGATTAACTGTGTGTTCTGATCAAATGTAACCAGAGTCAAAGGAGGGATAGACATTCCCTTTGCTAAAGAGGCCACAGGTGTGATGTCATATTTAATCGCAGTGCCTTGTGATATTGTTGTTTGGTCACCAATGCCTAATCCCATTAGTGGAATTGCTGATCATTAATTCATATTAAGCAGACGAGTAAATGCCAATGTCAAGTGGCTTTGAAGGACAGGAAGAATGAAAATAAGGCAACAGTCACATATCAACTAAATGTCACTGTCTTTTCCTTTTATTTGGAATTTTGTTGCTATTCCTAGTTTATAAATTAGAAACAGAAACAGTTCTGATCTAATTAGAAAACATGAATTATTCAGCCTAAGCCAGTTTAAGATATTACATAGAACAGAATAAACAAGGAAACATCTCGAGTCTAGTTGTGATCAAACGTTTAGAATTCCAACCATCCAGATGTGACCTGTTGGTGGAAGCGATCCTCTCTGCAACATGGTTGTGCAAACCAGACACATTTCACTGAACGTGTGCCGGAAAGATCCTCATGCGCCAGCTGACAAAACTTGTGACTGGTGTCACAACAAACAAGAAAATGTAGACAACTCCACCCAATCCCAAATTGCTTTGTCTCACGCGGTGGTAGAAGACACCCAACGCAGAGGCTGACTGATTGACATGCGCACAATTGATTCTGTCACTCTCCATCTGGGGTGTGGAGTTCCTCCCCGTACACCAACGCCGCTTAGTCATCAACGCATCCGAGCAGACTTCATCTTCCTCCTCTTCAGACTCGGGAGGCAAATGTCAGCTTGCTTTTTAATGTGAGAGACGCCTCCCGAGCATGTTTACGCCGAGTGATTTCACCAAAAACTGTCAACTCGATCAACGTGACAGGTGGCGAATGAAGAGATGTAAAGAAGAAAGCACAATCACAGAGTAATGGAGGAGAAACTGAGACCTCTTCTGGCATACTTAAAAGGATCAGAGGAGAAATAAAATCACGACGTGTAAATGCTTAATTATAAATAAGGCAATGACTTCTGATAGCAGGAGCAGCTGCTTCAAACATGAGAGTCTGGATTAGAAACGGTTCTCAGAAAGAAATTTGGGAGTTGCAAAATATTTCACATGCTGTAGAAGAACATATGCTAAACAAATGTTCCCTTCACATTCTTGAATCTTTGCAATATGGAATGATTTTAGCTTATCAGACCTCAAAAAATTCACTGTGATGGAGAAGTGATCAAACTAGTTGACTTTGAAATATCTCCTGTGAATATTTTAAAATCTATTAGAAGTTATTTGTTGAGTAATGGAGCTTACACTAAAGCCTGTAGTAAAAGGTCTACTCCCTGACTGACTGGTGATTGGTTGCTGAAGGTTGCACAGATGGAACCAGAAACCTCCTTCTGATTGCTTTGGTCGTTACCAGACTGCTGTGGCTGCAGTTTGGATGGAAGACACCGAATTGTCTGCAAACAATTTTTCTTTATACGTGAACGGTCTCCATTTACAGTTTTAAAGTTTCACTTAGTGAGTCGTTATTAATAGCAGACGAGCTAGCGTCTTTATTGCAACCAATGTGAGACTGTGGCAATCTAAACCTGACCAAAGCAGTCAAAAAGAGGTACGCACAGAGGGTTAACAAGGAGTGTGGTAACTCTGTGGTAACTTATGCTGAAGAGCCAACCTTCGCTGGAGTAGATTATCTTCTGAGTATTAGATTCGAGGTACAAAACCGATCGGTTCTCTGATCAGCACCTTTTCTGGAGGATTTCTCAAACCTTGCTGAGCTTTTGCTGCAGCAGCTGCTCTGCTGTACAAGCTGTGTTTTGGGTTCAATCTGCATATTTTACAAAGATAGTGCAAACTGTAATTTTACAAAAATAAAAGCTTTGCTGCCAGTACGACTGTCCATGTTTGTGACATAATTTCCTCTAGGGATCAATAAAGAATTCTGATTCTGATTCTGATTGGTTAGATCCACCAACACTGCCATTCTCGTGTGAACATGCTGACAGCTAGACTGTGAAACTCTGTGTTGACTTAACAAGTTGGTAATCACCATCATGTGACCATTTAGCCCAGTTGGCTATATTTTTGTTATCTGGTTTCACTTTCACTGACATGAGCAGAGTATGTCAAACTTGTCCTTGTGATGGGCTGACGACCTGTCCAGCATATAGCACACCTAACCCTATCACGGCCCGGATGGACTCCAACCTTTGTCATCCTGAATTGGATAGCAATAGAGAAACTGAATGGATGGAGGTTTTGAAAGAATTGGTCCAATTCTTAAATGAGCCTCATTACGTGGCTGCTATCTTTGCCATATCTCTCTTCTAAGACAAGTTTTAATCCCAAACAGCTTTCTGGCAAAATGAAGGTCAAGTAATAGAAGACAAAAAGGCGTCACCAGTTCCTGTAACATAGTTCATGAATAAACCTGAGGGGAAGAATCAAAGGAACTCAGATCTACTCCAGTTTAACCGCTGCCTGTGAATCTTTGCAGATTCTAATGAAAACAATGAAAATCAGCGTTTCTCCGGCCGAGTCTTACCTGTGACGAGCTGTGTGAGCAGCTTGTTGTTGTTGTTGACGATATTGACGGACACATTTCTGGATGACTGCAGGAACAGTGGGCGGCCCTGCGGAGAGATCGACCAGGTAACTCATTTAAAGCAAGGTGCAACTGTCATCAAGCTGCTAATGCTTATTTAATCATGTGAAGTCCAAGTTTTTATCGATGAGAACAAGTAACCCGAACCCTGTTTAAAAAACTAGTTTTATCTGTTTCAGTTAGAATCTTTATTTTTCGTCCTCTGATTGCTGAGACTCTGGGATATTTTTCAAAAGCCAAACATCGTACATTTTAATATATTTATGTGTCCAAATTTACGATAAGGGTTACTTATCACTGACAGCGACTTAGACTAAGGTATACACACGAGTCGGGGACTGAAAAAAAAAAGGAGTACAAAAAAAGAATGGGCCACAACCACTGCTTCATCTTCAACCTTTTATAAGATTTACTTCGCTTCTTCACATCACCTAATTGCCTTGAATTTTTTGTGCTTTCAGCAAAGAAATTGGGTGCAGTTGATTTATAACTCAATACAAAATAAGTGGTGATTGCACGCGAATCCAGATTACCTTCGCTTCATAATAGTTGAAAATTTTAAATGATTAAAATCCAATATCTAATGTTGATGGTACAATTTTATACTGTACTGTGATATAAGAATGCAATATCTAAGGATGATGTTACAACTGAATCACTAACCAGCATTTAGCTGAAAGCACTCCTACTGCATGGCCATCGACTCTCTCACGCTTGCATTGCGTTTGATTTTGTTGCCTTATGTCTTTGCTGTGCTGGTCTTATATGGCCTCAGTCAGCTGCTAGATAATGAAAGTACAAATGCATCCACACACACATAGAGATGGCCACAAAGGTGTGACTTCAGACACACACACCGCCATAACTGTCCGCACTCAGCCTCCTGCTCCGTTTGATAACTTCCATTTCCCAGAGTGCCCTGCATTAATCTGTAATGCTGATCACGTTGGACACTCTGCTCTTTCTGTGCCCGACTAATCTTCATGCCTCAGTCAACTTCTTAATTAGAGATAACGGCCTGACCATTGTGCTGCGCTCGTAGCCGAGGAGGGGATATGCCTTGTGTGTATATTACAGATAACATTATGGCTCTTGCCAAACTTATTGAAGTTCCCACAGTAAATACATCCAATATATGATACACAAGTAGGAACTTATTACAATAACAATGAGGTGTGCACTGAATGTAAAACTAATAAGTTGGAGAACAGTTGACACTTTGTGTTGCATTAACTGTGGACTCGTTTCTGAATGTCACTTTGACAAATAGTGCCCAGGTGTGTGTGTAAAGCACTTTTAAGTAGTTTTAAAACAGTGTCCTGAGGTAAACAGACTGTACTTATATACTGCTTTTCTACCCAAATTGAGCACTCAGAGAGTTTTCGTACTACAAGCCTCATGCTTCGAGTGCGTTGCCTAACATTCACACACAAACGCACGTTCTGATGGATGAATCACGGCCAACTTGGGGTTCAGTATTTTGCCCAAGGATCCTTCGACATGCAGTCGGAGGAAGCCACAGATCAAACCACCGATCTTCCAATTAGTGGATGACCCACTATGAACCACAGCTGCCCCAAGGTGCCATGGCAGTAAGGTTAGATGTATTTATTTTTAACAGTGCATACTAGTCGAAAGAAAGAGATAATTCACTCCAAAGAAGATAAAGTATCTGCAATTCAAAGTTTCCCCTCAAAAAAGGGAATTTATTGACTATTTCCAGAGTTTTCTAGTAGTTGCTAAAGATTTTTGGTTAGGAGAAACAGATACCAGTGCAAAAACACTCAGAGCCCAGGTTTATAAGTGCTTCTGAGTCAGAAAGATACTAGAAGCTATCTAACTGGGATGCACTTAAACATCCTTAAAACTGCAGTGAGTTTCTTTACTTACAGCTCAATGCAAAGCGGAGCAAAAGCCTACCCAGACACACAAGACGAACGGGAGGTGACCGTGTGTTCCCAGACAAGCTGAAGTACTGGAAAACCTCATAGCCTCCAGCTGAACAGCTCTAAAGAGTGAGCAGAGACTCCCCAGCATGCTGAGGCACAATAGCAAACTTAACAGTGTTTACAGTGAGCTTCACTTAAATGCATTTTTAATAAAGAGTCACAATAATGACCAGAAATATAAGGAGGAGACGCGGCACTCCAAGAATCCTGAATAGAAATGCTAAAGATCACAGCTGCCCTTTTTCTATTAGCTGATCATGTTGCACTGATGCAGCAGTAGCAACAAGCAGAGGGTCAAAGAGAAGGTTGTCAAGAATTCTCTGGAAAATGCTGCCACCATTCCCGGAGCATCCCGCAGAGCTCCTTGGGCTCTGACTGAAGCAACTGTGCTCCCCTCATCCATAATGTGAATCCGGTTAGTGGCTTCATTGGATGACAATGTGATTTTTAAACCTTATTTTGGGTCAAAGTGTGCAAACCTTTGAATGGGCTTTTATCAGATTTGACCTGCATTTCTATACACTCAATTGGAGTGCAGAGCTGCAGTAACCACTGAAATTGAATTTATGGCGCTCGTTCCTCATTTAAGTGCAGACTTCAAAATAACCATCTGGATTCTTTCCAAGATAACTGCTTAGATTTGCTTTTTAGAAGGACTTTGACAGTGACAGAGACTGTGTCTTTGCAATGACAGGCTTTCAAAGCCTTTTTGCCTTAATAAAAACATTTTGTCTATAAATATATATGTTAAATTTATTTCAACAGCATTCTCATACAGAGATCATGCTACATGATGCATTTTGTGTTTCATCAGCCATACAGACAGGACTTGCTATGATAAGGTAAGGACAAATGACGGACTACTCACTTGCCAATCACAGGCTTTTCCTGACAGGAAAGTTAAACAATGGCTCAAATACAACCGTTAGCTTTTAAATCGTTCCACTTTTGAAAACAAATCTTCAAAGTAAAACAGGAAAACCAACCCAAGAGAACACTGAATGAAAAAAAAAAAAAAAACTAAACAAGAAGTCCAGGACATGGAAACACACAGTACTAAGGAAGACTCACTACTAGAATACAGAAACACTGGAAACAAATACTCAACGTTCCAGGAAATAGACTAGCCCTGGCGCTTATTTCTCAGTCTTCCATGTCATGCAGTTTTTTTGCAGTCTGAAACTGGCAGAACTCACTGCAGGTCCTGCTCGTACAGAATCAGTTTAACTAAGCTTTGCCTGCAAATCTGCATCCAATTGTTTAATATCACTTTTGAGGAACTGAGAGAGAGTCCACATTATATTATTCATACATTTCCTGTAAAGATGGAGATAGCAATCATCCCTACTGCTATTATGAATGCAAATCTAGTGATACCAATGTTTTGACTATATCACTGGCTTATATATTATTAATACTAAGCACTAGAGATATATTATAATATATCACTAATAGAACTGCCTAGAGTATTTTTTGTTTTCAGCCTGTTTGCAGTTTGGATTTGATTTTCCAGCCCTGGAGGATGCTTCATGTTAGAGCGCTAGCTGAGGCTGGCTCCAAAAGCAAGTCGATCCCCACAGACTTCCACGTATAAATACACACTAAAAATGCATGTTGCCAATCTGATATAAAAATGGGAACAGCCTCTATGGATAGTTTCCCCCTTTGTAAGAAATGTAAAGTGGCTGAAATTTTTTTTTTTTTTTAACTTGTAGCTGGAGCTGCAAATTCCAGTCACTAAACTGAGCCTCTGTTTGTGCTGCTGGAGCCTTTTGAACAGACTATGTTATATTAAAAATCCGTGCTTCAGTTTGGTAGATGGTTCTGTCACAGGCGACCTTCAGCAGTCACTGGGACGTCAGCGTCATGGTAACGGTCACTCTGAGTCTGTGGGCTCTCTACTTTTACTTATTTCCTGATGGATTCTTAGTTTTCTGTGTTTATAACTTCTTCATGTTTTTTGGGTGCATTTAGTCTCAATATCTTATTTCCTGGTTATGTTAGCATTTATTTCTTCACTCAGCGTTTCTCGTCCTATCCTCTTGTCCCATCCATCCATCTATCCTCTTCAGCTTATCCATTTCAGGGTTGCAGGCGGCTAACACAGGTCCTCTTGTGTCAATTCTCCAAATATTGATACTTGCTTGTAGTTTTACTTCCCTCGTTTTGCGAAACTTCGCAACAGCCTCAATAAACCGCTCGCCGTTTCCATGTCTGCATTTTGGGCCCACAACATCACACTCCACATGGTCTGTATAATCTGTATAATCGTCAAAGCAGTCAGAGACAGAGACAAGTAGCTGCAGCAACAAAAGGATTGCTCAGAGTTTGAGTGAGCAGCACGCTCAGCCTAGGCTGATTGTACTGGTCATGTACTGGTGGAAGGAAACCCATCTCCAAACAATCAAGGACCAGCTTGGGCTGACTTCTGTAACAAATACTAACGAATAACTGATTACAGTGTCATCTGCATATTGTTGTATTCTGGTTTCATTCCTATATAAAAGCAAGTTACTTACAAAATTAGTTACTAGGCTAAGTAACTTTATATAAATTTCTGTTTATGCAGAAAACAAAAAATGTGCAGTTTTCAAAAGTTTAATTTCTCTATTTCTGCAAAATCCATTAAAGACAGCAACTGTATAGTTGCAGAGTATTTTCTCACTGTTAGTGACTGTGACCAAATCATTACCATTGACAAAAAAGACCAATGGGTGATTTTACAGTGGCTACATCCGACCTTTTTACACAGCTTATGGCTTTTGGTCATCATTAGTTCATGAAACCTCAGTTTCTCTCAGAATTGTGACCCAGGCAGTTAATGGATGAGATCTGTCCAAATTTTTCACTGCATGCCTCACTGCTCACATCTTACTGTAGCTGTAATGACCTGCATCACTACTAAACTCACACAGAAGACATGCTGATGGATTTCTGGCGTGAATTCAGGTAGTAAGCTTACAGATATAAATCAATCCGATAACTAATTCTTTATTAATGTATGCTTTTATGATTCTCCCATTAATCAGTCCTTCCCAACTTGGAGTTTTCCTGTCAAAGAAACTTAATGTAGCTCAGT